GCAAAAGCATACAGACCACAGCTGGTACTACCAGAAAACTTGATGAGGAACTACTTCAATCACAATGAGATGCGACGTCAACCGATAAAGACTAGTAACAACTGTACTCCCAGCCCTATCCTAAATTTTATCCCATTCCTTTTACCGAAGAGGAAACAAACCCACCACCCACCAACCCTCTCCAGAGCTACTCTACTTTTTTGCTTCAACTTTTTCTAGGTCGTTTCTAGCTCATCATTTTTTCCACAGCTTTTGGTACCTCTCTGGCACTGGCTGCAGAATTATTTTCCCCAGTTTTAGGCTGAGCCGTGGAGTTTGGGGTAGCTGCACTCCCCGGCATACAACGGGGAGGGAGCTCGCTGCAAGGCAGATCAGAGGCTACATCACCCCAAATTCCATTTTAAAGAAAGTTCTTAAAGGCCAAGTCTGCCGCCCCTTGCACTCAGCCAAAGAACAGACCTAATGATAATGCTGTCTTTGGGCTCCATCACTTCCTCCACTCAGGTAGGAAAGAACAAGGTAAGAGTTTAAATAAAGACCAAATATTATTTTTTAGAATTAAGTTTCTAAACTTATATTTGCATACTTGAATAGAAGTCAGATTATTTTCAAAAAGTTGTTGGTACTTCCATTTACTTCAGTAGGATACACTAGTGCCCTAACCATTGCAGTCTGCTTTTCCTCATACAGTGCATTTACGTGCCTAGGAAACTGGCCATTCTATTATACATAGCACCTTTTAAAAATCCTGCTCCAGGCTTAACTACAGATTATGGAGCGTAACTCTGAACACCATTTGTTTTAACGTTTTGGCCTCAAAATGATTAACTTTTAAAATATAACTAAATACGTATATCACGATTTATACGTATTATACATTTTTTTTATTTTATTTTTATAAGCTTAGCAGTAACGCTAACGCTGATGCTAACCTCAGCAGAGACTGATGCAATTACTCTGAACTCAGACTGAGGCACTCCGGCAGGCCCTATCTGAGGCATTTTGCTTTGCCTCAACGTAAAGGCTTCTATTTCTGTTTATCTCCCCAACTCCCAGGTCAGCATCTTTCGCCACTAAGAGGTGAGGGGAAAAGTCCTGAACAATCCATTTCAATTAACCTGTGTAATTTCCAGGTGTGTAAAGTTAGTAAATTAGACCTGAATAAAATATTAACATGCCCTATAGTGAGCCTTTTATTCCTCTAAATCAAATATATTTTATTTCGCCTTTAAAAGTGCTCTGTCAATTCTATGCTGAGCCTCGCTCTATTTCTGTAGTGCACCTTGTAAACGTCTTCAAAAGACTGCATTTTCCACACCCTCTCTCAAAGTGCAATCCGCGTACGCTGCCCAAGTCCCACATACACACACTAACACCCAAGGGCAGCTGGAAAGAACCTCAAAGAGCATTTAATAAAATCCTACTGTAACAGTAGCCAATTTCCCATCGGCCCTTTTCAAGACTGCTGCAATACCCACCACCTTCCACTGCAGAGCTAACTTACCAGGAAAGGACTCGGCGACAATGGTGGGTGCTGCAAGAATCTTCACACGTAAACCATGATGATTAGTACAGACACTGATTTTATAGCTGAAAGAAAGAAAACTTGAGTTTCTGTTTTAGCAGCTGTGTATTTTACACTCTAAATGTTATGATAATGCTTCTACTGCATTCTACCCTAGCAGGCTAAAATAGTTTAACATCAGGTGGGTTTTTGTTTTTAACACAGAGATAAAGGCTTCAGCCGATGCCCTGTGGGTCTGGAAACAAGAAAATAATTATTTTGGCCTACCAAATTTGGCATCACGATGGGATATTTATTTTTTAAGCTGACTTTACACAAAAGTGTTTCGTGTTTCTTAATTTGTGCGTGTACACAGCAGGTTACACAACTATAATGCTTCAGCTAACTTGTCTCTTATGAAAAAGTCAACAAATCAAACAGATCAACCCTTTCCAATTCCCATTAGTACCAAAACTTTCTTTTAAAGAGTCTGAAAATGAAATCCACAGGCGGCAGAACAGTCTGGCTCTGTTCATCTAAAGACAAGCCTCTTGGCTAGTCCTGCCTCCAATACCAGCTACTCTCCCCCACTGCCATGGCTGAAAATTAGTGTCAAGGACGCTGAATCATAAATATACGCTAAGGAAAATTATTCATAAGCATCTCAAGTGCCTTTTTTTTTTTTTTTTTTTTTAATGTCCCACTCTTTGTGGCTTGACAGGTTGAGACCTATGCCCAGAGACACCTGGCTGCTCACTCAGTTAAAACAAAAAGAGAAGCAGAACAACCTAACAGCGTGGTCTTTTGTTCATCTGCACCCGGTCAACGCAATGCTTTTGTGGAACATTTAATACACGCAAATTGTTGGACAAGCACTTTTTTGGTGTGGTCATGGACAGCGTAAATATTTCCATGTAATAGGAAGGACAAGAAGAAATGAACCGTAAGTTTACGAAGGGCTTGGTGCAACACAGACTCCCAGCAAACACAAGAAATGCAGATGCTACTCTCCAAATTTAAATTTGCCTGTGGGTAGCGTTCAGCTTAAGAGCTGTACAGATAAACAAACAAACAAAACACAGATTAAATGATACTACTGTTTCCAGAATTGCACGCTAGCATTGTATGGAAGAAACTTTTTCTTCACCAAATAAAACATCCTTTGGCTTTTCGTCGCACAAACCAAAAAATTGTTCAGATTACAGCATAAGGCAATACTGACCTATATCTAGAGTCAGTCTTAGAGAGCAAGGCAGTAAGTTATTTCAACTTTTGTGAGCGTTTTTGTATTTATAAAAGACCTATTCTTACAAATATACTTGCAATTTAAAATGACTCCTGCTCACGACGCATACAGTGATGAAAACCATCTCCATACTTGATAACATACGACTTTAGCAAAACAAGTGAGAACTGAACCTATATGAAAAAGAACGCCTGACAAGCAACACCGACGAGCTTCTTTAGCACTGATGTCTACTGGGGATTTCGTTAGCACCCATCCCTGTAGCAGATGAGTGTCCTCAAGTAACTAATAACTCACAATTACATGAGGCTAACAACAGCCTAGCTTTTCTTCTACTACCTTCACATTTAGAATTCATTCACATTTTAAATTTTAGATTCATATCACCAGAATGCCCAAGAACTCTGACAAACCCGCAACATGTAATCCCACTCTAGCGCTAGCTGAAAATTAGATGTATTATCCAATGTTAGTATCATGTCTCTGATTCTGAATGTCCTTTGGACAACGTGGATGTAGAGAAAATGCATTACCGGAAATCAAAGGGAGAAAGCATCTTGGAAATCTAATAAATTAGCTTTTAGAGGATTACTTTAGAAGTTTTATATTATCTGCATAGGCTGAAAACTGCTACTTTCCATAACAAAAGGGAAAAAGGGAAAAAAAAACCTGTTTGTTTTCATTCTTGATAACAATTATCATCATGAATACTGCCAGATTTAAAAGGAAGAAAAAAATAAGTGTAATCCATAAACCAAGTAATGATGTCAGCAATCTTAGAGCAAAACCATCTGTCATCGCTAGCCCAACAAGAAAGGCCAATCTAGGAAACTAACAGCAAAGTGTAAATGCCAAAAAGAATTACAGATGCTCAAAACATCTGAAAAGATGCTTCAGATATCAAAATATGAGTATCAGTGCTTGACTATAAAAAAACCCAAGGAGTTTAAAAAAAAAAAAAAAGTCTTGTAGTAGCCAAACATTTTTTAGGAAGTTTCCCAGTGCATTCTTGAGTAACAAAAGCAGCATTCTAGGAGAAATTAAGTGGTCAAACCAGAAACAGAAACATATGCATTCCCAACTGAGCACAGTGCCGAGGGTGAAGGATGGGCTAGGAGGGGTGCAGGATGAGCAGCCCTTCTATGGTCCTCTCTCCCAAATTCTCCTGCCTATTGAGAGAATAAGGAAACATGAGCTTCACACATTCTGAGATCAGCTTACTCCTCGGGCACACGCGTGAGCACAGGAGTACACGATGTGACTCTCCTCCACAAGGAGGAACACCAGAAGAACTATGTAAGGGAACAGAAGCACAGAGATCACCTAATCACATCTGTCAAAAAATCGGAAGCAACTCAGCAATACAGAGGCACTGCTGTCATTGCACCAGCAAAACGCTTAGAGCCAGCGTCCTAAAGCAAGGCTACCTTTACAGCATTTTTAACTGCCAAGTACTCACCATGCCTATGGATGCTTCAACTTACCACCAGCGAAGGAAATTTTGGTTTTATTGGATAAGAGCTTCGAAGCAGAATGGAGTTATTGCTCCAGGATCTCTACAGATTTGAACCAGTTATGCTTAGGTAATCCAGCTCCCTAGAAGCCTATTACACCACTTTTCCTGGCTCCCAGGAGACTGGGACTCAGTTTAATTTAGCTGTTTGGGGGAAGAAAGGGGGTTTTCAGAGACATGCTTTAAAGATTTTTAGATTTATATATTTTTTGAGAAGTATTGTTTCTAAAATCCAAAATTGTGAAAAAATGTGGTTGGTATCTAGGCATCTTTATACACACACTAAATACTGCTTTGCTGTTTCACAGGACAGAGTTTACACAACAAAACTGAACAACTTGATTTATTTAAAATTCACCTCAAAACGCATTACGTTTAGTTTCTTTTTTTTTAAAATGAGCATTCAAAGCATCAAAATTACTAATTTAAAAAGAACCTTTGTTAAGAATACGATAATTTACATACTGTTGTTTGTGGCTGTGAGGGGAAAGAAACAACCAATGGTAGATTAGGCACAGTACTGAGGCCAACATGCCAGAAAACAACACACTTTATGCTCAACTTTCAAATGATCTAGACAAAATAAAACCAATGGGTAGGGGGGAAAAAAACAATTAACTTCAGGGCATTTGTATTTAAAAAAAAAAAAAAAAAGGTGTTAGTAAGTTTTCTATCTAGACCTAAGTCATTCATGTATTTAAAGAACTCTATTTTCTTCCAGATAACAAAAACGTTTCTAAACCAAGGCAGATTATTATTTGGAACTGGCATAGTAAAATAAAGGATCACAGTATACACAGCTTAAAATCCTGTACCAGGAAAGATCAACAAGTGGTTTACAAGGGGATCACTTAGATATAACATCTAATTTTTAAAAACAGAGATATAAAATATCAGTTGCATAGGGATTTAAATATAAGGCCAAGCAGGAGATTAAAGTAAAATAAAGATCGTAAGAAGGGCACTATGGTGTCAAAACATAGTATTTCCATTTGAATTAATGTCTAATTCAAAATCACAGTATTTTGCTAGTACTATAAACAGTGAATGTCAAACTGTCCCATTAATCTCAAACTGAAAACTGACACTAGAACTTCTAAATAGTACAAAACTAAAGCTCACTGTCTAAACCTGATCAGTGTATTAGCACAATAGTGCTTGGTACGTACCTGATTTATATACTCTACCTTCTGTAAATAATATAAAGGTTATTTCTTGTTAACAAGTGTGAGATCACAATATTACTGCATGCCATCAGTGGTTTGCAGGCTTACTTGATATTTAATTATTCAGTCTTAAAAAGTGTAAGATCCCACCCTGCAGAATCTTCACCCATTGAACAGAGAACACTGTCATTAATAAAATACAATAGAAGTTCCACCACTAACAACTAACATATTAGCCAGGATTGTAGGTCTAGACCCAGTATAGTTCATTATTATTAACTCACAGCAATTTTTGTTAGGAAGGTAACCTGCAGACTTCCAAATAATCTTGTGTATATTAAATATAAACAAGTATTTAACTACCGGTCATCTCTTGACATTTCAAGTAGATTATTCAATTGTGAAAGTATTTCCGCAAAATCAAATTTAAGTTGTTAAAATGAAGTTCAAACATTAATTCCCATATCTACAAGTAGCTTAATTAACCTAAAATTGTAAGGAATAGTAGTGTAAGGAAAAAAATTCTCCAGATGAATTAGGCATTAAGGTACACTAACTGGGAATACCTGAACCAACGTTGTAACTGAAAAAGTGCATAAACATAGTAATACTACAAATGTGTTAACTACGGAACGAAAGGTTTTCTGAAAGCTAAGCGATACTATTTTACATGTTATTTACAGGTTGCAAATTTTCCAGAGACCACAGAGCCAATTTAGGATCTTAAAATTCCTCTGATATATTTGAAGCATCCTTTGGCTTCCATCTTAATTCGGGCAAGAACCTATTCACACACCAGTGAATCGTCAAGTACTGTACAGTCAATCAACACGGCCATTGTGGTTCTGTCATTCTTCAAAATTCACTTCTTCCCGTTCTTTGAAGAAAAAGCGGTATTTTCATTTTACACTTTTAGTAGGTGTTTCAGATTCTGTAGACTGTCTCCCATCAGTCCATGCCTCTCGCGTGCTCTTCAGTGCTAGTGTTTTCTGCTGATCAACCACAACATAATCAACTCTTTCATCTGCCACGCTGCTGCCTGAACCACTGCTCTTTTTCTGGAAGAGGCAAAGGAGAGTGGAAGACATGTTAAGAGAGATCAGCAACAAAAACTAACTAGAGGCCCCAAACAGATCCAGGGCAAGCAGAGCTTCCTCTGAAAGGTACAACACGCTCTCTGACTCACCGTTTGACAAACTAACTAGGGTGATCTTGCTCGGGGGCGCTCACCTTCCCAGCAACTACTAGCAAAGAAATTCTAAACTCTCCATGGCAGAAACGCTGAAGTTCTCAGGATTTGCTTACCTTACGAGGTGGGGTAGATTTCCCAGAATCTAGGTCCAGATCTAAATATTCCACTTGTTTATCTCCTTTAGGTTTTACCATAGGACTGCTTCCTCCATCAAGGCTGTTGCTACCAAACAAATTCTGAAATTATAATATAAATAACTTCAGCTGCAAATGCACATTCTAATGGGCCATATTATCAAATACGCTTCCTACAAATTGCCTAAACATTCAGGATTAAAGAACTGGGCGCTCCTGTAATGTGTTAAACCATGCATATTTTACTGACACTGTACAACAAGGGAACATATTCTAAGTCAAAAATGAAACAATTAATGTTGAGCTTGGCACACAGAGTGAAAAACCAAGGGAGGAAAAACCTGAACACCCAACAACCAAACCCCCAAACTTAAGGGTGCCACCAAACCAATCTATGCTTTCCATCTAATATCCCTTTCATAGCATGAGATAAGCATGGAGCGTGCTTTTTCCTGAATATATATTGTGTCTCAAATTTAACATGACTTAAAACTTCTGTACTTAAGTTATTGTTAAACACCTTACAAGGATTTCAGCCTTACAACAGTGACAAAACTTCAAAAGAGACTTTTGCATTTCATTCAAAAGCCATTATAATTAAGCTGAAAAATCAGAAGGTATTATTCAATTGATAAAAGTGAAAGATTACACAAACTGAAAAATTTGGTAGGACCGGCTGAACTGAAGCTGTATTGCATGTACCTAAATTTCAATTAGCCCAGACTTTTACAACCTCACCTCCTCTGTCCTCTCCCAGCCTGATCCCTCCCTCTTAACAGGTGTTATAGGAACAGTACAATAGAAGGACTCTTCTCTAAAAGATAAAGAAAAAAAGGAAGACAGAGGGCAGCAGTCAGCAAAAAATGAAGAGCAAGGCAAAGGAAAGACAGAGGGCAAAGCTGAGAGCAACTTGAAAGAAAAAGCAGAATATTGCTCATTTTATTAAGTAAAACAGAAGTATGACATGTCCAAACAAGATACTCCGAAGCTGATGACAGAAAAGGATGAAAAAGTATGGACTTCTTTCTAAGATGTAGTTAGAACAAATAAAAAAAAATTCAAAATGTCTATGTAATTAGCATATTTTAAGACAATGGCCTTGAGATATCTGCAAACATTCAGGTTCTCTAGGAGATAAAATATTTTATGGGTTAAAACTTAACGGGCTTGGCTTTTTTAATGCAAGTTATCCATTACATCACCCGATTCATTTACATTAAGCAGTAACAAGGACAAACACAAATAACTGAGACAAAGTTCATTTTTGCTGCCCAACTTGTCTAAAACATATTTCTTCATATTTGACATGCAAAAGTCAGGATCCGTATCACTGTTTCCAGCACAAAAAAAGTCTTACTCTTTAAACAGAAAAAGGTCTATATTTCACACAAACTAGACAAGCAGAATGTATGCATTAGAAAAAAAAATCAAATAGACTTAAAGGAAAACAAAGGAAAAATCTTCAGCGCAACCTTGAAGAATGAATGGTGCAAGCAAGCATAAGATATCAGTGACGGGCCATCCTAGCTGTGATATTAAACATACCATCTTAGCGCTAAAGTTAAAGCCTTGAAACGCCGTTCTGAGAATCAACAGGAACCGCCAGCGTTAACTGTGATTCTGCGATGGACAGAACCGTGCGTATAGGCAATCTGCAACTTTTGTGTAAAGTGAGACCTCTCTTCCAGCTCTGAAATGGGACGTTCCTGATTACTTACCAGCGCCTCTTGCACCGTGCTCTCGTAAGAGATCAGGTAAGTTTTACACCATTGGCTCCCAGCTGCAGGAGCGCCCTTCCCGCGGGAGGTGCGCTCGCGTGAACAGCTCAGACATCGTACAGAGCACAAGCCAGCGCGTTTCTGCCGGGCTTGTGAACTTGCACCGAGTCAGAGCTGTCGCGGGGAAGCCAGCAGCAGGGGCTCGCGCAGGGGCACCTCCCAGGCAGCATCCAGGGGCAATAACGTGAGCAGGAGGGGAGGGAGCCTGGAGGAGACGGGCAGGGAAGCCAGGACAGCAGGGATGGGAAAAGCAAGCAGCACTGAGGGAAAGGAGGAGTCCAAGGCGTAGCGAAATGGGATAGCACGTGCCGTACACGGCGGCAGGCAAACAAACAAAGCAGAGAGGGTGGCAGGCCAGCCCTCCTCCAGAGAAGGTTTGGAAACCACAGCTTTCATCATGCTTTAAAAGATGAAAAACGCTACTGTACTCTCTAAGTAAGAATCCAAGCAGATAAGACATAGCGAGTACACAGAAACCACCCTGAACCAAAAGCTGGGCTAAAGGTATAAGTTTTATTCTGAACCATATATTAGTTTAGGCTTAGGACTTCCCTCCCGCTTCTTAAACACAGCACACATCATTAATTTTTCTTAATAGGTTCTTCACTGACTGCAGTGCAAGCTAAATATCTGAAACTACTCTCTGAAAAAAAATTTACCCGAGAGGGAAAAACATAGATGTTCAGTACACAAAGAATCCTTCTATGCTTTTTTTTTTTTTAAACTAATAAATGCACATGTAGCTCTGATTTCATAGATTGTAAATAACCAATATCAATTATTTTCCCTGTTCTTTCCACATTTCTTGGAAGATCTTCTTTTAAGAAAGGTTTTTAAGCTCAGCTCAGAAGTCCTAAGATAGTTTATTTCCCTTAATGTCACAACTGGTGCCTAGTCTGAGACCAGCAATTACAGACAAGAGGAGAGAGTTTGTAGGGAGGAAGAAAAAAACCAAAAAGACATGTTTTGAACTGCTTTGTAGAACAGATATGCATACTAACCACACACTAATTAGATACAGTTTATGCTCTTATTTTTCTCAATGCAATCTTAGCAAAATTACAGTTGTTCTACAGAGAATTTTTTTGGGGGGGGGAGTGGATCTAGAAATGTAAAGGGAGGTGATGTTGAGTGCTTGCATGATTTAAAAGTAAGGACTGCACAGGAAGAGAGTAGTTAAGATGTAGATTTTACATACTGGGTCTTCAGTGGACTGATTTGGATTCATGGATACATAATTCTCTTCACTGTCGTGCGAGTCACTGCTGGAAGTTGTGCTATGAACTGAATCCGGTCTGGGAGACATGGGAAACCTGGAGGAGCTAATTACCAGGAATTATTTTACAAACAATACATCTTGAATATCTTAAACCTCCTGGTAAACAACAAAAATAAGCATATTAGAGCTGAAATTCTCATTCAAGTCGCATTTTTCCGGTTATACAGTTCTTTACATTTAATATTACAAAATAAACATTCATATTGACACACTTTGTTTCAGTGCATGTGTGCCTACTATATATTTTATGTATACATACACACACATATACACAGATACACGCACTTCCAAAAGAAATCTCAATCTATTATATAGGCTAAAAAACGTAACAGAGATGCACATATACATTTATTAACGCTCCAGTAAATGAAAACAAATGATCTGAATGAGGAAAAGCTAAGAAACTTACTCTCGCGCAAAACTTCTGGTGATAGGAGATCTAACTGGGGCTTGTAATTCTTCCCATTCAGGCAGAGGTTTTATTTCTAGCGGAGCTGGTTTAGCTATATAAGAAACAGACATTCTTAAAGCACAGAACATTTCTAAACATAGTTAAATTCAACAGCTTTTCAAAACCTAAATACCAAAACGAAATACTATTTTTTAAGCAGTAAACACCAGTAAGGGAAAGGAAAAGCACTGTTCAGTTCTCAGAGAGTCATGATATATTCATTTATATTTTAAACTTTCCAGTTACTGAAAACTGACAGTAATTAGAAAAAAACACAATTCAAGAATTTTGCAAGATACACTTGTACGTAGAGTGATTCCATTTCGAAAAGAGACTCAGAAAATGGCAGCGTCATGCTCTGCGTTGAACGTGTCACAACAACTTGTTGAACTGACAAGCACCGGACAGGCTTGACTGACTGTTTCAGCTTAAACTGCCAGCACAGCCAAAACTCCACATACTTTTCTTGGCTCATGGACAATTATTATAATGCAAACTCTGCCCTTGCTGCATACATGTGCCCTTACTGATTAGGTTTCACAGCTGAAAGCGTGGGCAGAATCTGTAACTAAGATAAAGTTTGCAAAACTGACAGGCGAGCCAATGCCTAGCTTAAATCCCAAAGGTGGCTGGCTGGCCTCGGTGCTCATCAAGCCCAGCGCTCATCAGCTGCAGAGCAGAGCAGCAGGCCGTCAGCAACGACGGCTAACGTGATTCAAGAAAAGCTGCCACTTCAAAATTCCATTTTCAGAACAGAACCACAAATTAAATATTAGCAAGAAACACATTATCCCTCCCTCCAACCTGTTGGTTTTTTTTTTTTTTTTAACCCTTCCCAAACATTAAAGAAAGTTTTAAAACATGGATCATCGAACTTGTAAGGAAAACCACATGCAGTCAAACTGTTGTTACAGTTTGAATCTCAGCTCCATCCCCCTTAAGACTGTTTTAACACAATAAATTATGATGCCATTACAACAACAACAAAAAACCTATCAGTTTGCTGCATATTAACAGATTTACTGAGATCAAATTTCAGGCATTAAGAACTAGTTCATGGGGAGTAAAAGCTGCTGTAAGTGACCACATGAGGAACTGAAAGAAATCAGTTGCTTAATCAGTGTGGTCTTCTCATGAGGAAAAAGCAGAACTGTACTCAGCACACTTTCTTTATACTTGCTGTTCAGATAGCTGACTTTTCGATAAACTCTATCTTATGGATTCAGTACAAAGACTCATCATTCAAATCTTCTGGATAAGTTTGAGTCTTTAGCAGCCCAGACAGTTCTCTCCGTTAGATAAAATGCCATAATTACTCATGCGAAACCCATCAAGCCTACTCCAGTAATTCTGCCACTTTAACAGGCTTAATCATAAAGCGGTCGCCACAGACTCAGGAGAGTCTCTACAAGTAATCTGTATATCAAGATATAAGGTATCCCATGAGATAGGATGGCAGAACTGAACTTCATGTAGGCAAGATGGTGCTAAAGCATGAGTGACACAACAAGGCACCAGCACGGCTCCAGTGCCGAGTAAAGGCCCGAGGCCGAACGGCAGGTACAGTCAGCAGCCAGGTACAGCACTCGCGCAGAAACAGAGCAACGATTTTGTCTGAAGCCCACTGCGAACAGCAGGAACGGTTCATCCAATTTCAGTGGGCTTTAGCAACCAAAGGCACTCATCAATTACAGTGCTGCAAGACTTTCAACGTTATTTGTAATTTGCTTTGACTCACGTACGAGGCACCAAGTCAGCACCTTCAATAAAGCCAGTGAGACTCTAATTGCAATGCTCATTAAGATACATAAATAGAATCTCTGCACTAACACATGGTCACAAGATCAATCTTTTGCTGCACTTCAGTGTTTAGCCAACAGCAGGAGACCCAAGTGAACTGTGGTTTCAGGTTATTGCTTAGTCAAAGTTATTCCAAGCAGCTTACAGGTAAGTCATATATACTTGTTTCCAAATAAGCAGATATAAAAGTAAATCCCAAATATGAACAGCTAAAATATAAGAGATCAGAACACATGTCTAGGAAATGTTTCCTTGCGCTGTTCAAGACAGCAAGGCTTTTCTTCCCTGTAAAGGAAACTTTTTGCTTGGCAAGGAAAATACATCCATGATCTTAGATTATACTGGAAGTAAAAAGGCTTTATGAGAGTTCAAATTCTAGAAAAACAGTTTTCTTAATTTTCGTTTTATTTTTATAAAGCTCCACATACATACAGTGCTAAAGTACATACCCTTTCTTCTTGTAGTAAAGTCACCTATGGTTTGTGAATCAGTTCGCTCTAAACCATGTGGTTTAGGTCTTAAAATTTTAGGGCTTTGACCTAATTGGTAAAAAGAAGACTCTCTTAATATAATGTTCTTTTTATAATTGGAAGATGGAACTTTGTAAATAAGCAGCAGAACCCCCTGCAGAAAGGTTAATGCCACAAGCATAAGCAAGCTGCTGAAGGAGAGTTTTACGGTCTAGCTAGGTCTCACACTAATGGCTTAAGCACCAGACTTGAAACAAACAAAACATTGCATGCAAGAAATTTGTCGGAGGCAAGCACAAGAGGTGTACAAAAAGGCTAAAAAGTGCATTAACAAATACGGTAACTGACCTTTATTAAATTATTTTCAAGTCGTATTACATTAAAAATGCCTTATTTGAGGAATATCTAACATGACACAAGAATAGCTGTCTTCCAGATGTAGGTTAAATTACTCTAAGAAATTAAAGCCTCTTCATTTACCGTATTACTTTAGAAACGGCAAAGCTCTCAGGAGGTCTCCTATCCACCATGCGCTCCTCCACCCCCCGGCCCCCAAGAACCCTTTTCCACATTGTACTTGCTAAACCCATAGATCATCATCAGCCCATATCAAAATCTGTCTCTATCAAAAATACCTCTCTGTGCTTGTAGAAGCAGAGTGACTTTTGTTCCAAGTTCCCAGCCTGCACACCGGCCCCCTGCCACGACACAACCCAACCTCCACCACAAACAGCCCCAACTGAAAATAACATTTTTGTAAGCCATTGCTTTTTTCAATTGCATATGCCTACCTGCAAGTGTAGTAGTCGCACTAGCTGTTCTCTGATATTTTATACTATGACATAATGTACCAATCCATTTAGTAACAAGGTGAAGAGTACAAAGTAAGACAAGGTATTTAAGACAAGGTCTTTACAGACAGTAATATACCCCCTTCCCTTTAAAGGGGTTCTTCTTACTCAACCTGACAAAACACTGCAAGCAATTCAGATCACCTGGTCTATTTTATATAAATACGATCAATAGTGCAAAATAACCCTACTCTTTCTTGAAAGTGTATCTGACAACGTGTTTGTTTAATATTAGAAAAGATGAGTGCCTTCAGGTGGTATACCAAGAAGCCATATGAAAGGTAAATCTTCATAATAAACCTAATAAAACGTTGTTAGGTCTGACTATGTTTGAAAATTGCCCTACAGCACAAAATGGAAAAGGATTGGCACAGACTCAGATGTGGGCTGGTACTACCAGCAGTGAGTGAGAACGCTTTGTAAAAAATAAATTTGGCAGCAAACACCAGAAGTTTGCAAATCACTACCCCAAGGGTTTTGCATATGAAGTACTCTATTACTGTTATCACTGAAGTATTGGGAATTATCAAGTAACAACAAGCAAGATAAATAGAAAGGTTTTCCACCATATCATTAACTGTAACACAGTGCTGCTGCGTGGCCACACAGGTAAGACAAACTTATTTATTAATATTACTACTTAGCAACTTCTTTAAAAAAAAAAAAAAGTAAAGTGATTTTCGCAGAGATGGTTGTTTTCTAATTTCAAAGACAGATGTCTCCTTAAATGGCTAAAAGACCAAGTGGTTGGGCAATGCTGACCAAAGGTTCAAATTATAAAGTAGCACACCAAAGTATTTCTGTAAAGCATGCTGCTAACAGGAGCTAAGTCAAAAGCATGACCCAACATGTTGGCCAAGTTTGTTCAGAACTGATCTGATATTCTAAGTACCTTGCCTACAACTCTAGATAGAAGCTTGAGTACATAAAAAGACCAAGATCTCAAAACTGATTGAACAGATTTGTAAGTTCAAATTCAAACATGTTCTACTAAGAACAATTTGATGCTGAATATCATCATCTAATCGTACTAGCTTTGTGTTCCACAGTTTTCTAATCTGATTAAAAAGAAATTTGGGCCAATCCAACTCAATTTAAAACATCAATCAATGCACTAACTTACGAGCACAGATCCTAAGCACAGTGAGAAAATTAGCGTGGTCGCAGTGTTAATGAAAGTATGTATGGTCAAATGCCTGAAACCAATAACATACAAGATAAGAGCAGTGAACTCAGGGCTGTGACTTACTATTTCTACACATTTGTTAATGATTCCACGTGGTCTCATGAAACTGACTTTCCTGAATTATGATTATCCACTTTTGTAAAACATGGATATTTTGTAATTGCCTCCCCTCATACTCCATTCAGCATTTATAAACTCTTTTGAGACTTTCAAAAGAGCTATACAAATAAGCACAGATCCCTAAAATATCCCTCTTTTGCATCGGACAAGAACATACAAAATGTTCCAGTGTAAAATACACTCACTGCGTTTTCATCTCCTGCCGCTGAAGGACAGTGTGACCTAAATAACAATTGGGTGGCAAAAGAGTTTGCTGCCACCAACCAGCCATGATAATGCAATTTCCCTTGTTTAATATGTCAGAGAATTAAAATGCTTGTGCAATTATTTCTCTCTACAAAACAAAGTCCTAATCTCTGTTGAGGAGCTTCTAATGTACAGTAGAAAAGATCTTTCACCAGAGAGAGGAGAAGGAGGGGGGGAAAAAAAAAAACAGAAAAATAACCAACATCACAGATTTTTCTATGTATCGCAGAATTCCTTCACCCCATCCTTGCATTTAAGATGATAAAATAACAGAGGCTAGGTCACAGAAAGGGCTTAATAGCACCCGTTACTTCCTCAAAAGATACATTTTTAATAAATATATCAGAATTTTTTTTATTGTCGTTCTTTATCTAAAAATCATCAGCTCTGCCGCTACCTTAGCCAGATCTACAGAAATATGCATGTTTAGAATTGAAAAACTTAAATAATATGATTGAAATTCATGGTGCTGATCCAAAGTAACCTGACTAACTTACTCTGAAAGCAGTTCCTAGAAGCCCAGAGAAGAGCTGAGCATAACAACGTGCAAAGTATCTCAAACCTGCATAACAGACTGCTCTCCAAGGTTTATGCTATTCAGAAACAGCCTCTAAAGAGGAATCTCATAGGCGTTTCCTTAAGTTTACTGAAGGCGAAAGGACAACAGGCCGCTAGAGCGAGCCTGGCCCCATACGCCATTTCAACACCAATGACGTTACGGCATACGCTTCTTGTGGTTTAGGCCCACAAGTGCAAATTTACCTCATCTAATGTTCAGACACTCACACAAGACAATGCTTTTAACTCATATATCTATTCTGGAGAAGACATATCTAGGCCAAAGCGTAGTTTACATCAATTTTTTCCTCACTGAAAAGGAAAGAAATCGTGTTACAGCTCTTACAACTGGATATAAGTCTATTTTACAAACACAGAAAAAACAAACCAACAAGTTACTGTAAGGGAAACCAACTACCGAGAAGTGAAAACCAGATGTTGTTCAAGTTACCACCTGTGAAACCCAAAACGCTATGACAAGAGGAGGAGGAAAACTCAACCTCCACAGGTTCTATGACACAAATACTGTGCAAGGGCACTCTGAGCTGCAAAATCACTAATGAAGTCTATTTTTCTAACAAATGGCCACTGTAAAAACTGCCAAGCAGAACCAGTGATTACGCATCTAGCATTAGACTGCGCTCGAACAGCATGAATTCTACTCCTGGCATTTCGTCATGCGCGTCAATGCTGCCTTTGTCTGAGAAGTCAGCAGGAGAAGAGTCCGTTTCACGTGTCTGATTTTGTTTCAAATAACGCTTTAAACTGAAAACGACCTTGCTAAGGCATTCTCTTTCCTAGTTCTCCAGGAAAAGACATGGAACATAATGTTGGAAAAAAAGTGAGTCTTACTGCAGCATACATCATAGTAGGTGGGAATCCTAACGTTTTAGGCTTTTCGGACATAAACCATTCATGGAAGAGTCTCATTTTGTTTTCTGGTTACAGCCTTGAAGCACTAATAATGACAAGATTTCTGTTAAGAACGCTTATTTTCGGACTGGCTGCTTGCTCCGTTACTTGCTGGCAATGGATTTGATATCAGGCAATTGCAAACATCTTCATGAAAGAGGCCAATACACTATTTAAATACCAACTATGTGGGGCTTAAAACTTTAAAGTAAGTCTACCAACGTGACATAAAATTTAAAAAACGTGTGATCTGTTAATGCTATTTCCTGGCCAACAGGACTCTAATCCTCATGAGACAAGGCGATCGGACGCAGGAATGCTAGAGTAACGCTTTACTTGGAATAGGAGGTTGGAGAACAAGAGGGAAAAACAGCCACACAGATGTCCTGCATCGACTCAAAGCACTTTCAAAGAGACATAACTAATAGCAGTTTTCAGTTAACGTGTTTGTGTGTGTGTGTGCACACATTGTGTGTTTGTAATTAAAGGAAAATGAAATTTGACTAAGGGAGATTATCCCAGTACTCAAACTTCCATGGCTTTTTCCTTAAAAAACAAGGCTGAAGCTCACCACCTCGGTCTCATAGGTTTTATTGTTTGGCTTTTGATTCTGCAGAGCAACTTCTCCCCTTCGCCTCTCTTCTTCCTCCTCATCCCAGTAAACTCTGATTTCCAAGTACACGGTTTTCAACACAGAGCTCTACAAATATCCTGAATTTCGTTTTTCATCCCTGTTTCTAGTAAGTTTTATTTCCTGCCAAGGTACTTATAATTAGAAACATTTATTTCGTTATACAACTTCCATATCCATTTCCATACTAGTATCCAGCAGTAAATAGAATGAATATGTGCTTAGTTCTGGTCAGTGATACCACATGGATGCTACTGACCACAGTCTCTTTAGGACTGTAAAAAGAAGCTGAAATCAGCTCATACTTGCTACATTATGAATTAAAAAAAAAAAAAAAAAGTGGCAGTAAATTAAAGAGATGCTCTCTAGTTTTCTTAAACACTTTAACATCTCCAAATAAATCATCTCAGAGCATTAGTACTTTAGATACTCCAGAAATTAACAACAAATTGGAAAAAATATCTGATTCTAAAGACATCTAACTGTATCAGACAGCTAAAGTTCACTGGTATTCATAAAATATTTGCCAAATGCCACAATACTGTTCAGAGAATACCAAAGCTAT